CTTGAATTGTTTCTTTCTGGCTGCTTGTAATATTTTCTCCTTGACCTTTGAACTCTGGAATTTGGCTACAATATTCCTAGGAGTTTTCCTTTGGGGATCTCTTTCAGGAGGAGACGGTGGATTCTTTCAATTTCTATTTTGCCCTCTGGTTCTAAAATATCAGGGCAGTTTTCCTTGATCATTTCTTGAAAGATGATGTCTAGGCTCTTTTTTTGATCATGACTTTCAGATAGTCCAATAATTTTTAAATTCTCTCTCCTGGATCTATTTTCCAGATCAGTTGTTTTTCCAATGAGATATTTCACATTATTTTCTCATTTTTCATTCTTTTGGATTTGTTTTACAGTGTCTTGATTTCTCATAAAGTCACTAGCTTCCAATTTCTCTATTCTAATTTTTAAGGAAGTGTTTTCTTCAGTAAACTTTTGGACTTCCTTTTCCATTTGTCCAATTTTACTCTTTAGGGCATTCTTTTCTTCATTGGCTTTTTGGACCTCTTTTGCCATTTGGGTTAGGTTATTTTTTAAGGTGTTATTTTCTTCAGTATTTTTTGGGTCTCCTTTAGCAAGCTGTTAACTTGCTTTTCATGATTTTCTTGCATCACTCTCATTTCTCTTCCCAGTTTTTCCTCTATTTCTCTTACTTGCCTCTCAAAATCCCTTTTGAGCTCTTCCAAGGCCTGGGACTGATTCTTATTTTTCTTGAAAGTTTTGGATGTAGGAGCTTTGACTTTGTTTTCTTCTTCTGGTTGTATGTTTTGATCTTCTTTGTCAGCAAAGTAAGATAATATAGTCTGACTCTTTTTGCGCTGCTTGCTCATGATCCCACCCAATTACTTGAGTTTTAAACTCTTTGTTAAGTTAAGACCCTGTTTCCCATGTGGAGAATGTACTGTCCCAAGCTTTGGGGGTTTGTACAGCTGTTTTCAGAGATACTTCTAGGGGCCTGCAAATTTTCAGTTCTCCCAAAGTTCTATGATAAGCGGCGAAGTGTTTCCTCTCCACCACCATAACAAGCTCCACCAGGCCAGCGCTCCTCCTTGCCCCAGGACCGCCACTCAGAACTGTGACCCAGATCCAAGCACGGGCAAAGCAAGAGATTCCTGCCTCAGCCCTGGCAAAGAGATCCTTGTAATCCCCCTCTGTTAAGCCACTCAATTCCCCCTCAGTCTGTGGGCCGGAAGGTCAGAAGGCAGCTGCTGCCCTTGGGGCAGCTGAGATCTAGCTTCTTCTCTTACCGCAGTAACAGACTTTTCCCACTGACCTTCTAAGTTGTCTTTGGCATTCGTGGGTTGAGAAGTCTGGAAACTGCCACAGCTGCCTGTGATTCAGTCCTGGAGTCACTGGAGGTTTGCTCCAGTGTCGCTGTGGCCTGAGCACTCATGCTGCACTGTGCTCCTCTCCCAGCCTGGTGCAATATACCTTTCTGATCAGCCATCCAGGTTGTCTTGGGCTGGAAATTTGTTTTACTCTGTTTTTTTGTGGGTTCTGCTGCTTTAGAATTTGTTTAGAGCTGTTTTTTGTAGGTATTTGGAGGGGTTTGGGGGAGAGCTCTGGTAAGTCACTGCTTTCCCTCTGCCATCTTGGCTCCAGCACCCTCCTCTTTTTGTTTTAAAGAAACTATTTGCTTTTGATTAGTTACTTCATCTTTCAAAAAGTATCTATGGCTTTTTTTTTTTTTACTAATTCATTAATTGTTTTTTATTAATTTCTTCTCTGATGTTCAGAATTTATATTTCGGTGCTTAATTAGTTTTTAAAAATTTGTTGGTTTTTAGGTTTTTTTTTAGTTGCATGCTTAATTAATCGATATATTCTTTATTTTGTTGATGAAAGTGTTTAGTGATATAAATTTTCCTTTAAATACTTCTTTGGCTGTATCCCAAAATTTGGGGTGTGTTGCCTCATTGTCATACTGTTTGATGAAATTATCTGGTGTTTCTGTGACTTGCTCTGCGATGCACAGATTTCTTAGGATTAAATTATTTGGTCTTCAATTAATTTGTAATACTTTTTAATGGACCTTTATTGATTATAATTTTTTTGTTGTGGTCAGTAAAGGATGTATTTAATATTTCTGCTTTTCTATATGTATTTATTAATGAAGTTTTATGCCATAATACATGGTCAGTTTTTGTAAATGTGTAATACACTGCTTAGAAATATAGATAGATAGGAATGCACACATTTATATGTATACACACACATTCCTTTCCATTCCCATTCAGTACTTGCCAGAGATAAATTATAACACATTTTTCTAAAATTCTGTTTAGATAATTAAATTCTTTTTTGTTGATCTTTCTATTAGATTTGACAATGTTCAAAAAAAGGCACACTGAAGTCCCCAGCTATTATAGTTTTGCTGCCTCTTTCTCCTGTAACTCATTTAACTTTTCCTTTAAGTATTTAAATGCTATACCATCCAATGCACATTATTTTAAGTATTGACATTAATTCATTATATATACTGCCTTTAAGCACACTGTGGTATGCTTAATCCTGTGGTATTGTTATTTATTTTTTCAAATATGTCTATTTTTGCATTTGCCTTGTCTGAGATCCTAATTGCTACCCCTGAGTTTTTGAGTTAAGTTGAAGAATTTTTTTTTGCTCTAGCCCATTATTTTAATTCTGTATCGATCTTTATGTTTTAAACATGTTTCTTATAAGCAATATGCTGTTGGATTCTGCTTTCTAATATACCCTACTGTATCTTAAGTAGTTCTCTCCACATACTAAAATTTGGCAGCATTCAAAAAATCTTTGCCCCTGGGTTACTCTTCTGAAGTGTTGTAGAACAGTGGCATAAAATTCAAACAGAAACAGGCCACTAAACTGTACATAAAGATTTCTCTGGGCCAAATATTGACTTAGAAAATCCCATATATATTATATGTATATTTTTATTAATATATGAACAAATTAAAATAAGAAAGTACATTTTACTTTGATATAGGCTGCATTCGGCAGTATTGTGGACATATATACATATGTAAAGCTACTAAAGGATGTGTGTACATGCAAATGTGGCAAAGATATAAACATGCATAGACCCTCTACTGAAAGCATCTCTCAGCTAGAAATTCCTAATTATCAATAAAATCATAAAACTGCCTAGTGCAGATCTTCTCTGCTACTCAGAGCCTCTCTGCTCTCTTGTGATTTTATCAATGGAAATGATATTAAAGAAAAATGATTATTAATGTGCTTTGGTTGAACCCTAAGGATCATAGGACCTTTCTTTCTGACTTGCAGCTGAAACTTTTCAAAAATCTCTCCCTCATTAGAATGTGAGCTCCTTGAGAGCTGAAATGGTCTTGCTTTTCTGCTTGTAACCCCACTACTTACCATAGTTCTTTGTCCACAGTAAGTACTTAATAAATTCATTAATCCACTGCAGTCAAATGTAGGAATTCTACTAAAATGAAACCCTGTGTCCCACTCTGAGAAAAACCTCAAACCTCAGGGGGCAAATAAAGGACAATATCAACTTGTGCAAAATGTTTATATTCTGCAACAGAGGTGACAAACATATGGAGTGGGTGTATGTATATATATGTGCATATATACACATATAAAAATACATACACGTATATATATATTGGATATAACAAAATGAAGCAAGTTCGGCCTCTGACACATACTGACTGAGTGACCTTGGTCAAATCACTTAATCTCTCAATGCTCTAGGCAAATCCCTAGATTGAGTGCCTATTCCTTTCCTTGTGGCTGCAGCACCATATTCAATAGCCAGAGACACTATAGATACTGTTATGGTATTTTTAAGAAGCAGTACAATTGAGGCAATGACAATTACCTGCCATTCTGTTGAAACTGGGCTATCAAGTCTGAAGAGACACTGAATGATGTACAGAGAGAAAGAGAATGAAGATAAATTATTTTCTGAAATAGCTGTTTTTAACTTTTTTTTCCTGTGAAGAAATATTTATGAAGAGAATTATTATTATTTTTGGTGAAGCAATTGGGGTTAAGTGACTTGCCCACAGTCACACAGCTAGTAAGTGTTATGTGTCTGAGGCCAGATTTGAACTCAGGTCCTCCTGACTCCAGGGCTGGTGCTCTATCTGCTGCACTACCTAGCTATCCCAATGAAGAGAATTATTGAAAGACTTTGGTTGCCATTAAATGAGATAATATTTATAAAATGCCTAGCACACTGCCTGACACATACTAGGTGCTTAATAAATGCTTATTCCTTTCCCTCATTTCTGATCCTGAGAAAGCTTAATGGCGGGACTGTATTCCAGAATTGAGGAAATCAGTAGTTTTATATGCTGGTTAGAGGTGACTCTAATCCTGATTGCTAATTTTTTTTATCGGCTAAAACATTGTAAATAATTACAAATGTAATCTTTTGTGTTTGTTACACTAGCAAGAAATAATATAGCCAATGACCTTGATGTTTATTTAAGCCTATATTAGAAGGTTTCACATATGCACACACACAGAGAAGGGCCTGGGGGAGCAAATGCTTATAGGTTTATTAAATATGAAATATTTTATAAATTCATAAAGCCTCTTTGCAAACAAAAATTGCAAATTCTCAGAACTGCTATATGGGACACGAAGGAGATCATGATCACCTTCGAATGGAGAGGTAAGAACAGAGAGAAGAGGCTGGACTAGATTTGTGTGGTACAGTGAAAAGAATGCTACATTTGCAGTCAGAGGACCTGATTTTTTTTTACCTACCTCTACAAATTCATATCGGTGTGATAATTGGTTAAGTATTTAACTTCTTTGGACCTCAGTTTCTTCATCTGTAAAAGGAACTGGACTAGATAACACCTGTTATCTAGTACTGCTCCAAATCTATGTAAGATGCTTTCAGCACTAAATTCTATGATTCTAAAATAGATTACCAAACACATCTTTGAGAGGGTCGGGATGAACATTCAGGCCTACTGACTTTGAAGCTCAAAATACTATGTTTATTCTCCTTACTGAGCTAATATGTAACCTTTAATCTCATATGTAGGTTCGAACAAAGGACCAAGTTTTTGACAGCATAAGTCACCTCATCAACCATCATCTTGAGAATAATTTGCCTATAATATCAGCTGGGAGTGAACTCTGCCTTCAGCAGCCTGTGCAAAGGAAACAGTGACCCTTCAGCAACTTAAAATCTCCGTCTTCTGTGAGCTCTGTTCACTGGTCATTGCATACATGAGACGGTTTAAATCCAAAGTGCATTCTTGGTTGCTTTGTCTCTCATCTTGAGAAGACCAGGCAAATCAGAAATTGGGAATGCATGGGGCTTAATAAAACTGAAAACTTTCTTAAAATATGATTTTAATAACATTGTTCCAGTCCCTTCATGTGCATTTTTGAGGTGTACATCTCATACATCCTGTGCAAATACAATCTCTGCATATATTTATAAAGCCTGTGAAAAATAAGACTAATATTGTTTGATGTATATTTTTTAACTAAAAAAAGGTTCATTGTGATTGTATAGGTGAAAATGTAATTGGACTGTTTTGTTACATTGGAAAACAATAAGGAGAATGTTGCTTTTAATTTAGTGAATAAGAATAACTTAAAAAGAAGATGTCAGGTTGACTGATAAAGATGGAACTTAAATAGGTCAGGTCAAACTGCTATCTGGAAATTTTTGTTTGGATCTGTGTTTGAAGTATTATAAAAAGCATTTTCTCCTTATAATATAGAATTTTAATTCCCCCAAGATGCTTGTACCTTGCTCTGACAATGACATGGTATGATCTCTGTGTAAGCATTTGTTTTCTTCAACAATAGGTACCATATACTGCAATTTAATAAATGGAAATCTCCTTTATAGTTATAAATGTAACTCATTGACTGAAATGAAGTTTCTGGTTACCAGTATTCCTAACCATAATGTACCAGGTGGTTAGAACTCAAAGGCCAAAGGCCCAAAGGACCTAATGTCATTTGCTTGTATGGGACAAAGTGAGCCTGGTTGGTGTCAAAGTCTTCACTTAGTTTTTCCTCCCTCTCTCTCCTCTTCACCCTTCTTATGACAAACTGGTAGTGTTGGTGACATGGACTGAAATCCTATTAGTTTCTAAATGAGGCAAAGCTTTAATACTGCTTTCATTATTGATTAGCACATTTTCCTGTGTTTTTTTTTCCTCCCTTATGTTTAGCAGAGGGAAGAAGAGGGAGCAAAGTGGTATTTTTTGGCAGGCAAAGGTATGTGTACTAGAGAATGTGTGAGCTAACTATTAAATGCCAGTTCTTATTTTTTAATAATAGTATTTTATTTTCTCCCAATTACATGTCTAGACGATTTTTAACATTCATTTGTACAAGATTTTGAGTTCCAAATTTTTCTCCTTCTCCTCTTCCCTCCCCTCCCTTCTTCCTAAAATGGTAGGCAATTTTATGTAGGTTACACATGTGCTATAATGTAAAACATATTTCCATATTAGTTACAATTGTGAAAGAAGAAACAGATCAAAAGGAAAAAAACACAAAAAAGAATAAAGTAAGTGAAAAAAGTATGCCTCGCTCGACATTCAGAATCCATTAGTTCTTTATCTAGATGTAGATAGCATTTTCCTTCATGAGTCCTTTGTACTTGTTTTGGAATGTTGTATTGCTGAGAAGAGCTGAGTCATTCATAATTGATCATCATATAATGGTGCTGATGCTGTGTACAATGTTTTCCTGGTTCTGTTCATTTCACTTTGTATCAGTTCATACAAGTCTTTCCAGGTTTTCTGAAAACTGCCTGTTCATCATTTCTTACTGCACAACAGTATTCCATTATATTCATATTAACACAGCTTGTTCAGCCATTCTGCAACTGATGAGCATCCCCTCAATTTCCAATTATTTGCCACCACAGAAAGAGCTGCTATAAATATTTTTGCACATGTAGGTCCTTTTCCCTTTTTTTATGAGCTCTTTAGGATACAGACCTAGTAGTGGTATTGCTGAATCAAAGGGTATGCACAGTTTTGTTGCCCTTTGGGCATGATTCCAAATTGTTCTCCAGAATGATTAGGTCAGTTCACAAGTCCACCAACAGTGCATTAGTTTCCCAATTTTCCCACATCCCCAACATTTATCATTTTCCCTTTTTGTCATATTAACCAATCTGACAGGTGTGAGGTGGTACCTCAGAGTTGTTTTAATTTGCATTTCTCTAATCAAAAGTGATTTAGAGCATTTCTTTATATGCCTATGGATAGCTTTGATTTCATCTGAAAAATGCCTCTTCATATCCTTTGACCATTTATCAATTGAGGAATGACTTGCATTCTTATAAATTTGACTCCATTCTCTATATATTTGAGAAATAAGACCTTTATCAGAGACACTTCCTATAAAGATTGTTTCCCAGCTTTCTGCTTTCATTCTGATTTTGATTACATTGGTTTTGTTTGTGTAAAAGTCTTTTAATTTAATATAATCCAAGTTATCTGTTTTACATTTCATAATTCTCTCTCTCTCTCTCTCTCTCTCTTATTTGGTCATGAATTTGTAACCCACTTAACTTTTCCTTTAAGAATTTAGATGCTATACCACTTGATGCATGTATGTTTAGTATTGATATTACTTCATTATCTATGGTACCTTGCAAAGGTACCGTTGCAAGATGCAGTTTCCTTCCTGATCTCTTTTAATTAGGTCTATTTTTGCTTTTGCTTTGTCTGAGATCAGAATTGCTACCCCTGCTTTTTTTTTTCTTCGACTGAAGCATAATAGATTCTTCTCCAGCCTCTTACCTTTACTCTGTGTGTGTCTCTCTCTGATTCAGGTATGTTTCTTGTAAGCAACATATTGTGAGTTTCTGGTATTTGATCCACTCTGCTATCCACTTTATTTTATGGGAGAGTTCATTCCATTCTCATTCACAGCTATGATTACTGCGTATTTCCCTCCATCTTATTTTTCCTTTCTCTCCTTTCACCCTTTCCCTCCTCAACAGTATTTTGGTTCTGTCTACTGCTTTCCCCAGTCTGCCATCTTTTCTGTCAATCCCTTCCTCCCCTGCCCCCAACCCTTTACTTAATCTCCTCTCCTCCTACTTTCCTGTCAAGTAAAACAGATTTCTATGTTCAACTGATTGTGTATATTATTCCCTCTTTGAGACAATACTGATGAGCATAAGGTGCAAGCAGTGCTCCTTGCCCCCTTCCCATCTTTCCCTCCACTTTAATAGATTTTTTGCACTTTTTCATGTGAAATAATTAATCCCATTCTACCTCCCTCTTCCTTCTATACCTAGTGTACTCCTCTTTCTCATTCCTTAATTTTTTTATGTCATTCCCTTAAATTCACCTTATTCCTGTACCCTCTGTCTCTATATATTCCTTCTAGCTCTACTATTAGTGGTACAATTTTTAAGAATTACAAGTATTTTCTCCCTATATAGGGATGCAAACAGTTCAGCTACATTGAATCCCTCATGTTTTCTTTTCCCTTTTTCCATTTTTCCCTTGTTAGGCTTCTCTTGGGCCTTGATATTAGAGAGCAAATTTTTTGTTCAATTCTGATCTTCTTATGAAAGCTTGAAATGCTTTCATTTCATTGAAGAACCATTTTTTCCCTTGGTGTATTAGGCTTAATTTCTCTGGGTAAGTGATTCCTGGTTATAATCCTAGCTCCTTTGCCTTCTGAAACATCTTATATGACCTCTGATCCTTTAATGTTGCGGCTTCTAAGTCCTGTGTAATCCTGATTGTGGCTCCCCAATATTTGAATTGTTTCTTTCTGGCCTCTTGCAGTATTTTTTCCTTGACCTAATAGTTCTGTAATTTGTAATGTTCCTTGGAGTTTTTATTTGGGATCTCTTTCCTGAGGTGATTGTTGGATTCTTTCAATGCTTATTTTGCCCTCTGGTTCCAGGACATCAGTGCAGTTTTTCTTGATAATTTCTTGAAAGATGCTGTCCAGATCTTCCTTTTGATTATGACTTTCAAGTAGTCCAATGATTCTGATATTGTCTCTCCTGGAACTATTCCCAGGTCAGTTGTTTTTCCTATTTTACATTTTCTTCCATTTTTTTCATTCTTTTGAATTTATTTTATTGATTCTTGATCAATGAGTCTCAGAGTCATTAGCTTTCACTTTCCTAGTTCTAACTTTTAAGAAGTTGTTTTCCTTAGTTAGCTTTTTTACTTCCTTTTCCATTTGGCCAACTGTGCTTTTTAGGGAGTTGTTAAAAATAAGATGGAGGGAAATACACAGTAATCATAGCTGTGAATGAGAATGGAATGAACTCTCCCATAAAACAAAAGTGGATAGCAGAGTGGATCAAAACAGATTTTTCTATCTCTTTTTCCATTTGGTCAATTCTACTTTTTAAGCAGTTATTTTCTTTGTCCAAGTTGTTGACTCTTTTTTTTTTAATAGTAATTCTCTTGCATCATTCTCATTTCTTTTCCCAAATTTTCTTCTACCTCTCATATGATTTTTAAGCTCCTTTTTGAGCTCTTCCATGAGTTCTCTCTGGGCATGAGATTGCTTCCCATTTTTCTTTGGGGTTTTGCCTTTGAGTTTGTGTCTTGATCTTCCCTGTCACCATAATAACTTTTCTATGGTCAGATTATTATTTTTTTTGTTTGTTTTTTGCTCATCTTTTTTGTCCTTTTCCCTTTCTTTTAAATTTGAGCTCTGCTCCCAGGTTGGAAGGGGCACTGTCTCAGGCTTCTTGTGCCTGGGGCTGTAGGCCCTGGCTATGTACTTGGCACTGCACTGATGTTGCCCGGAGGCCCACTGGGGACCCTCGTGTCTGGCACTGTACTATAGGGTAGTGTGGGGGTGGGTGGCTGGCACTGCTGGAAGCCATAGGGGTCTGGCAATTTACTTGGTACTGAGCAGGGGTTCTAGTCTTGGTGTCTGGCATGTACTGAGGCCAGTGGATATTTCTGCATTTCCTCAGAGCAACACTGAAGCATGTGGAGGTGTGGCCACTGGAGGCTGCCTGTTCTCTTGGCTATGCTGAGGCTTGTGGAGGGTCCTGGTGTTGGTGTTTGTCTGTTCCATCACACTGGAGCTTAGGATCTCCCACTGGTTTGCTGAGGTGGGGCTTGCTGTGATGTTTCTTTTCCTGGGCTGTACTCCCCTTTTACCCTAGTAAGACAGACCTTTCTTGGTGATCTTCCAAGTTTCTTGGGGTAAAAGACTGTTTCACTCTGTCATTTTGCTGGTTCTGCTGTTCCAGGATTTGCTTTGGGGCATTATTTTATGGTTGTTTGCAGGTTAATATGAAAGAGTTACAGTGATTTACTGCTTACTCCATCATTTTGACTTCCAGAAGGAGATTTTTTTTTTGGAGGCAATTGGGGTTAAGTGACTTGCCTAGGATCACACAGCCAGTGTGTCTGAGGTTGGATTTGAACTCAAGTCCTCCTGACTGTAGGGCCAGTGCCCTATCCACTGTGCCATTTAGCTGCCCCTCATCAGTTCTAAGAGTAACTCAGTCTGCAAGTTTAGGGATTTTAGTGAATTAGGTTTTATAAGCCCCAGTGTGATGGAACAGACAAACACCAACACCAGGACCCCCCACAAGCCTCAGCATAGCCAAGGGAACAGACTACCCAAGTCTAGTCCCCTTTCAAACAGTGGCTCAATCAGAACCATGAAGAAAGAGTACAAAAATGTGGAGTAGGACCAGGATCCCATAACAGTAATCTCAAATCAAATAGAAATGTGGGTTGCATATTGACTTAGAAAATCACAGAGTAACATTATCTATGTTGTATTGTATTTTATTTATTTTGTTAAACATTTAAAATTATATTTTAATGTAGTTTGGGTAATACTTGGGAATTTTTCAGGAGAGTTTGGTACCTCTGCTGTAGACCTTTTGGCATGACACAGAACCTTGAAGATATAC